GGGAGGTGGGTTCACAGCCCTGCCCGCTCATGGGGTCCAGGGCAGTGGCCACAGGGGTGGCGATGAAGCCATCAGGCAGGCTCACGTTGGGGAGAGCAGGGGTTGGCAGGATGGCCTCCTGGGAAAGGAAGAGAAGAAGTGAGGAACAAATGCTGGAGTCACCCAGCTTGCGACGCTCCCTAGCGCTGCACACCACAAAGTCCAACGTCGTACGCTGGGCGTCTGGGATGGTGCCCTGGGCGAAAGGACAGAGGTGACAGCTCCTGTCCCTGGGACTGCTAATCTGGGGGAGATGGATCTGCGTCTCCCCGGGTCTTGTTTCCCCTGGGAACTCAGTGATAACACAGGGCTCAGACACAGTGGCTCTCTGCTCACACTTGGCTCTCGGCCTGGGAATATCTTGTTTCTGGAGTCCAGTGGGGTCCCCCCAAAGCCCCTGCCATCTTCTGTTACACACCAGGGGCAGCCTGGATCGCAGCTGCTCACCAGGCTCCGCCAGGACAGTTTCACATATCAACTTCTAGAGAGGGGTCACCTCTTCCTAAAAGGGAAACCCTGTAAGGAATCCACTGTTCCGATCTCAGTCTCTATAGAAGAAAGTCTTCCCGGAGTCTGATGGAGGGAGAGGGGGCCAGGTCACGGGTGGGTGAATGACTGGATCTGGGCACCAGCATGAGAGTCTCTTAAGGGCAAAGAGCCATCTGTGGCTCCAGTACCTGGTAACCAACTTGCGTTGAGTGCTAAGTAAAAAGCAAAAGAAATACATGAACCTTTTTATTAGTGATTCATGTTTTCCTTTGCTGTCTCACTAGTCCTGTCTTGACTGGTGCAAACAGAGCTTGCTGCACATGGGTAATCTGGGGACTCAGGTGGAAGCATACGTTTACCGACAGTCTCCCGCCTCGTGGGTACCTAAGGACACCCTCAAGGGGGGCCAGAATCCTTTCCCTGCGCGTCACACGTGAGGTCAGCACTAGATCTAGCGGCCCTCAGCACTCCACTTCTGACTGATTATGGCTGTGAAGGTCTGCTGACCAGCCCAGGGCTCCTTCCCCCGAACTCCCTCTACCTGCGCAGGCGGGCTGTTGGGATCTGGTGCAGGTGCTGAGGCGGGTGTAGGCGGCACGGGGCCAAAAATGGAGCGGCTGGAAGAGAAGAGGTCTGAAAGACAACATCGGGGGCCAGTGAGTTCTGTGTGCCCAACACTTCATGGAATCAAGATACAAACAAATCGGGCTTTGAACCCTACTTTAGCCCGAGGAATGCCACGCCAGAGGGCATTCCCGCTGAGGTAACTCTGCAGAAAGGGGCCCTCTGATTGGAGCTGCACATGCTGGCAACCAGTGCGGGCGCTGAAACACTCCCAGGCCTGGGTGGCACCTGTCCTTACAATGGTGGGAGCTCTAGGACCAGTTCTAACTGCAGGGAACTGCCAGGAGGCAGCTGTGTCGTCAGCGCCCTCTGCTGCCCAGAGGGAGAACTGCTTATGGTCAGGGCCACACCCGAGGCTCTGAGACAGAATGAGACGCTCTCTTCCTTGAGAGAGAACAACGGCCCAGAAACACTTCCCAGACCCTGCAATTACCACCAAAAACTAACAGACAAACGAAAGCAGGTCTGGAAAAATTCTAAGTCCTCCCCCTGGCCCTTTCTAACAGTTCCCTCTAGGATGGGGACGCGCCTCCACTGTCCTGAGCAAAGTGAGACGCAGGCAGCCATGCTCTCTGCCTGCCCCCTGTCCTCACCCTGGAAAGGCTCAAAAGTGTCCATGAAGTCCAGGTTGGGCTGCAAAGGAATCAGCCCTGGCTGAATCATGTCTGCATTTCCCAGATGTGCTGTAAGAATCAGAAAGGAGACAGGAATTATTTTGCCTTCTCAGACTGTGCTGTAGGAACATGCAAAGGGCCTGGAAAGCATCTTCCTGGCCCTGCTCACATTCTAGATTCTTCCAAGGAGAAGCGTAGGCAGCTGGCTGGGGTTTCTACTTTCTTGTTGGCTGATGGGCCTTCTCCACCCTCAGAAGGCAGGAAAGAGAGTTTTCACAGGAAAGGTAAATTGAGCATCGGGGAACAGCAGGGACCTCCCCATCCCGTTCGAATTTTCAGTCTGCGGGCCCCTCTCTGAGGGATTAACCAGACGGCTGCTCACTGCCAGGTGAGGGGCCGTCCCAAGAACCCAACTGATTTCCTCGAGCACGAGTTACAGGCCCTGTCATTCAGCCAGGCACTGCTGAGGGGACAGTATTAGAAATGTGGAACTGGTTCAGACCAAACCCCCCACTGTCTTCTGTTTTCTAGCAGTGGTACCACGGGCCTGATGGGGGCCCAGGGAGGCTCAGTGTATGGGGCCCTCACATATCAAGGAGGCTGGCCAATCCTCTTCGCCGCTCACCCTAAACTAGCGATCGCAGCACCTCAGATTCGGCCCTGAGGCGAAGCTGGCCCCGGGGCCTGGCCGAGAAGGAAACGTTTCAAATCCAGGGTCTGAGGGCAGGTTACCTATTTCGCGTGGGTTGGGCCAGGCCACTGGCGGGTGTGAAGAAAGCGTGGAGAAGAGGGTGTCAGGCAAATTCTGACATGAGCATGTCTGTGTCCAGCAGTGTGTCCTCCTCCATGGGGACCGGAGTCTTCCATCCGTCCCTGTGTTTGTGCCAGTAAAGCATGTCATCGTCCTACCACCAACAGAGGGGGAAGGAAAGGTCAAAGGGGCGACAGTGACTTGGAGCTTCCAACTATGTCACGCCAGGGAACTATGTGACCCCACTCCCCAGAGCAGCAGGGGCTGCCAGGTAACAGATGGGGCGAGGGGGTGGCGAAATGCGGGGAGCAACCCCCTCCAGCCTGCTGGCAGAGGGAGCTGGTTATTTTCCTTCACGCCCTTCACTTGAGAAGGGGGTGGTCCATCCTCTGCCACAGGGAGTGTCCGTGTCTCCATCACTTTCCTCTGCTCTGTGGGCCACCCAAGTCATTGCTGTTTCTTGTCAAAGGAGGGTGGGAGTGTCCCATGAGGGTCCTCAGGGCCATGCTCGCTCACCTGGGCCAGGCTGGAGAGATCCTCATCCTTGTGCTGCTGGAGCTGTGCAGAAAAGGAGAGAGAGGGACAAGGTGGTCACTCAGGGCCCCGGGATGGGACGAGGCCCTCAGACTCTCCCTCGTGGAAGTGGGTGACCTCCAGAAGCATCCAGGCCTTCTCTCTGTGGGAGGTGGGAGGGGAGAGGGATCCTGCTCCTGCTATCCCAAGGGTGATGCACGGCCCAGAGGCAATTCCCAACCAGCATTTTAGAACAGCCTGGCTCACAACACAGGTGGAGAAACTGAGAGCAAAGGTCACACAACCAAAGCAGGCCACCACTTGGGCTGGGCCAGAACGCTGGGCTCCGTTGGGGACAGCTCCGGGCCACAGCCTCAGGGCCAGCGCTCTGAATGCAGCGCGCGTCCCCTCCCCTAAAGGGCTTCCCGAGCGTACTCTCCCTGGGGCCCGGGCCGGGTACCCTTTTCTTGAAGTAGGTTCTCCACTTGTGATACTCCCGGATCACGATCTCAATGCGGCTCTTCCAGTACTTCCCTTCCGTGGTGATGGCCTGTGGGAGAGAGGCGGGTCAGAGTGCAGGCGCGGCGGGCTTCGTCAGCAGAACGCACCCCGCGAACTCACAAGCGTCTGGCTCCAGCAGTCAGGTCCGGGCCACCCGCTCCGAGAACCCTGCCATGGGCCTACAGCTTCGTTCACAGTGTGAGTCCCTCTCCTGTGCCTTCATTTCACGGCCTGCGATAACCCAGGGGGCTTTGGGGACCCAGGTCCTGGAGTCTGGGCTGGAGCAGGGGTCAGACAGTGCTTGGCAGGGGAGAAGCAGAGAGCCCTCCCTCCTGGTGCTGGAGGAACCTACAGAGACTGGCAGGCTCTCCAACGCCCTGAGCCTCTGCTGGGTTTTCAAAGGGCAAAACGGAACAGCCAGTCACAGAAGTCTCAGGTGGAAAGTGATCTCCAAGAGCTCGCTCAACCTTCCCACCGTGCAAGGCGGGGGTCCTTCCACGATGTCCTTGAAGAATTCTGGTGACCAGGGATTCACGATGGCCTTGGAGAGCCCACCTCGCTTTCGGATTCCTTTATTTTTTTTTTTTATTGGCTGGGGTATATTAAAGCAAGTTCCAGATATGATATCATAAATGCCATATAACTTTTCCTGTAAATACTTCACTGTGTGTCTCTGACAGTGAAGAATCCTCACAGTGAACAATGCAGTATTATTACCAGACCTAAAAAAGGGATGCTTCTGAACACCATCAGAACCAGAGCAAGTCACACGGCTCCAAACTGCCTTTCATTAGGTTGCTTTCCAGGTTTTCCCCTTTCATCGTAACAGTAAGACATGCTTGGAGAAAACCAAAACAATGCAGAAGGGCAGAAAGTGAAGATGCTCCTCTTCGCCCTAATCCTACCCCCAGAGGTACCCACGAGGGAAAGGCTATCGCATATCCTCTGAGACATCTCCTAGGCAGGTATGATCACATAGATACACCCTTTAAAAAATTAACCTAAAACACTGTTGTGTAACTCGCTTTTCTTTTCATTTACTATTCCTTTAATCTCTCCCTCTCGGTACATAAAGCTCTTGAGGTTATTCTTTAATTGTTACAGATGCCTTGTAAGCAGTCAACATCCTTCCCTGCTGACTTCCAGAGAAACACCGATGTTAAAGCAGAGGGTAGGTCCCGGCTGGAGAACCCCTCAGTCCTTGGGTCAGTCTGGTCTGAGAAGGGGGGAACCTTTGCGAGGTGTCAGAGGCCACCGGCCCCCTACACGCCCGTTGCTTCTTGGGGTCACACGGCTGCCAGGACAGTGCAGCCCTGCACTCTGCCCTGCGGCCTCCCTCTGCGGGGCCCAGCTCTTGCTCCCAGCCCTCGGGAGTCACTCGTGCCAGGTACCTCTGGCCGGCGATGCTCGTCCACCTCCACGGAGCCATCTAGCGGAGTGACAAAGTGGCACACGGGGTTCTTGCGCTTCTCCAAATCTGGGTGGGGAGAGGATGAGACACCATCGCTGTGATGGGGCCCCCTGAGGGAACCCCGCACCTTCTGCTCACATCCCTCCCTTCAGGTGGGGCCCTTCCAGGTGACCTTTCCTTCTCCTTCCCTTGGAAAACAAGATTTCAGAGAAGTAAAGGGGTCCAGGTCACAGGAAAGACTGTTGGTGACATGTGGGCAAGAAAGGGAGTCTGACTGATCACGAGAAACACCGGCCTGAGCCAAGGGACCCCCAGCCCACTCATCTCCTGCAGATGTCACTGGGTCCAGCAGCACCCAGGCCAGCTGGACACAGAACAAGGGCTGGGCCTGCATCCTTCTAGACCTGCAGAAAATGGGAACTGTTCCCTGGCTCTCCACGTGTTACCTCTCGGCTGGACACCTGTCCTGACTCCCTGGCAAAGAGCTAAGCCCTCCCGCCTCCTCTGCCTTTACGTCACTGGGCCTTTATCATCTTAGGAGGGTGGGAGCAACCGGCTATCGCCCCCTGCAGACCATGGGCACCTTCACGACAGATGCCTGACTGGGCCCCCGTGCTGACGGCAGTAAGCGTCCAGTTCACCCGGATTTGTCTTGGTTTTCCTCTCTCTGCAGACTGCACGAGAGAGGCTTCTGTCTGACCACATCGTCCCAGGAGCGGGCTGCGGGCTCCAGGCCCCGAGGTGCAACGGCCTCCGGGTGGCAGAAGGGAGGGTCTCCGGCCCCAGCCCCACGGCACTTACACTGCATGTACCACGCCCGCCAGATGGCGTTGTTGAGCCGGATCTTGTCTCTCCACTGGAGCTTCAGGCCCTTGAAATTCTTCCACTTTGGAGACACCAACTTCCCACTGAAAGGTAAAATGAAGAGGGGACACTCAGTGGCTTCCCTAGGAAGAAATGGAATCTAAAAGTGCCACCTGAACCCAGGACTCAAAATTCTGGGTTAATTCACTGCAAGCCACAGGCTAGGACGGAAAGAACACACAAGGCACTCTGGGATTTCTTCAGTGATACGGGGTCGGAGGCGGCGGCAGGGCGCTGAGGCGGGAATGGCGGAAACAGGACTGGGTTGGTAACTGTTGGAGCCAGGTGATGATACAGGGGTTCACCATCCTAGTCTGTTTCTACTTTTGAGTATTTTTTAAATTTTCCATAACTAAAAGTAAACAAATCTGTTGATTTTGCATTACATATGTGTGGTAAATCATTATGTTGTACACCTTAAACTTACACAACGTTATATGTCGACTTGATCTCAATAAAGTTGGAGGGAGAAAAAGAAGTCTGCTGACCACTGAATTCCTCGAATTTGATCTCGGCCACCTCTTTTGTCACCAGTCCCCACAAGGCACCTACAGTCCAGGCACATAAGTGTCCCAGTGGCCTTAGAACCTGCGGGACCCGCTCCTGCCTCCAGGCCCCTGCACTCCTGATTCCTGGTCCTTACTCTTCACGGAGCTCCCTCTGCCCCTGGCCACCTGCTCATCCTTCAAAATGATACTCCAACACCACCACCTCTGAGCCAGCACCGCCTCTCCCAGGCTGCCGCCAATGCCCTCATGACCCCTGAGCACTGTTCAAACCTCGAGGACAGCGCTCATCCACACCCTGAGCAGCCATGCCCAGACCTACACGTCCCGCCGTTAGACCGCAGCCTCTCGAGGGGAGGGCCCCTCAGCCATCCTCGCCCTAAGCGCCCGGCACAGAGCTTGGCACAGAGCAGGGGCTCCCAGAGTAATTCTTCACGGAATGAGTTGAAGGGCTCTTGCAAACAAAGCTAACAGCAGGCACGGCCTGTTGCGTGGGGCGCAGCCTTCTCAGACAGCTGAGCTTCCCAAGGGTTATGCCAGGAGCCACCTCTGAGCAGCTGGCTTGAGATGGGCGAGGCACTATTTCTGGTCCACACCAAAGGGTTCTGTGGGCTCTACATCACTGCAGGCCACAGCCCCACGCTTCTCCAAACCCACTCGGAAATCCCACGGGACAAGCAGAGACGTGCCAGCAGTCTCACATCAGCCGGGGTCTTCGAAGACAGCGCCGGAGTGATAAACATTACCTGAACTTGAACACCTGGTGTATAAAGCAGAAGCCCTTGGCTGTGCACCTGGCAAACCTCATGCCTCCCCCAACCCAAGTCAGCACCGGGCCAGGCTTTGGATTATAGGCCAGAAGGCCATGACACCCACAGAGAAAATGTCACAGCAAATCCCTAAGCCCTTGAGGGACAGACAGACAGCGGCCGCCTCAGCTCAAACGGTCAGGGCTGTTGAGCCAGCCCCACGCCCTCTTCCCCCTTCTCTTCCCAGTCTAAAGGCACCTCTCCCTCCGTTCCTCCCTCCGCCCCCCCGGCCCGTGGCCCGGTGTCCCGGAGCCGCTGCAGCCCGGTCGCACACTGCCTGTGGGCGTTTATGGTCACCCAGCTGCTCGGACACGCCAGTTTCCTGTGTGGAATCACAGTACCACCACCGCCTCCAGGGTATCTTAATAAGGACTAAAGGTACACACATTCTTAGACATACAGGACACGTGAAACCTAAAGTAAAACATACACGTAAGATACTAATAACCACCTCAATGATCCGGATTTAAGTTATTACCGAAAGGCCCGGGTCAACACCCCCTGACCTGCAGTGTCCGCTTCTGTGTTTGCACCACTGCCATGGGCTGCTCCTCCTCCTCCCCAGGAGGAAAAGCTGACACCCAGGTGCCCGCTCACGGTATCAGCAAACACAGACCTGGGCAAAGGGCAGCCCTGACCCCATGCAGCCCCTGCTTCAATGCTGGGAAGGCAGGGCCTGGGTCCATTACTCATTCAACAAACGTGAAGTGCCTGCTGTGTGTTGTGCCCCCACTGGAAGCGAAGGAAAGAGACGGACGAGGCGGATGAGTCTGGCCCTTGTACAGCGTGTCAGTCCTGCCTGTGTGCTGAGTGTCTCAAACAAGAGCAAAGGGCTGTGGGAACACGGCCACCATGACCAACCCCGTCTGAGGAGTCAATGAGAGCCTTTCTGGAGGAGGTGACGTCTAAGCTAAGGTCTAGAGGATAAGGAAATTTTATCGAAACCAAGGAGAGAGGGAGAGGCCTGTGCTGGCAAAACAGGCCCAGCGAAGGCAGGGAAAGTACCCGGTACGGCTGGAGACCGGGGAGGTGGGGGAGGCGGTGAGGGGAGTGGGGGCGCGCTTCTAGGCCAGGCTGGAGGGCAGAGCGTACACCAGAGAACGTCAGGTCCCACCTCTGGGCAAAACCGACTCTCTTTCCCCTCCTCCGCCACATCTTCCAGCAACCCCATGTCTGGCCAGGCGGGGGGTTCCAGGAAAAAACAAAACAGAAAACTGTCCCCATCTTTTTATACCCTTAAGGTATAACTGACAGCTTCCTCGGGTGGAAGGCCAGGATTCAAACAGCCCCGTCTCTGTACAGCTGGACCAGAATCCTGCCCCGGCTTCTCTACCTGCAGAGAGGGCTGCGGAGGACAGAGCAGGAGGAGGGATGGGACGGCAAACAACGACTCCTGGGAGGAGAGCCATTGGTGATCTGCCACGTCCTGTTAGGAACCAACCACTGGTTTAGATACAAACCCACCCTCACTGCTGCTCGACACTGAACACAAAGCGGCCGGTGTGAGCACAAGACCGCCTTCCAGGTGACAGCAACAGCATGATTACCCACCATGCGGGGGGAAGATTCGGAGAGAGGGGAGACCCGGGGGCTAGGAACCAAATCTGACAGGGTATGAGGTCTCGTCTTCCTCCTCCTCAGCTGCTTGGCTGCTTCCCTCTTGCTTGACGTTCATGTCCAGCTGTCGCCCGGCACCCCAGGCTTCTGTGATACAGCCAACAGGCGGCGCTCAACCAACACAAGAAGCAGGCCTGAAACCAAAACCAAAACCTGAACAGCCCGCAGGAGGGGAGGGGGTGAAAGGAGGGAGTCGGAGACCCTCTGGGGCGCTGGACTGCCCCTTCCTCACAGAAGCGTGGAGACAAGGTCTGAAAAGGCAGCACACGCAGCCCTCTGGCACCCGGGGATTCCAGGGAAGAAAGGACGGCACACACAGCTGTTAGGGAAGAGCGGCGCACGTTCCTGTTCCCTTACTGGCGCGCTTCTCGGAGCCTCTGATGGGCTGATGTCACTGTCAGGCTGCAGTGAGAAGCGGAGGCCTTCCCTGTGCAGACATCCACCGACAACTCTCTGTGGAGGTACCTGAAGTCTAGCTTCCCATGGAACATACTGGGAAGGTTAGAACTAAGAAGTTCTAAGTGGGAACTCGCAGCGGGTGGCGGAGCTCCCCAGAGCAGTGTCCCCAGCACAGCATCTCCTCTCCCTTCCACCTGCCCAACATAACTCGCCCCCCCAGACGTGGCTGACTGGGGAGCTTCTTAGTCTGAATCAGGGGGACACCATATTCCTTCTTTAAAGTATAACCGGAAACACACTGCCAAAATTTCTGAGACTACCGGCTTCCCAACAAATGAAAAGCCCTCCTCTGGCCTTACCCCGACACCCGCCTCCAACATGCTCCTAAGGCCCTCTGGGCTTCCCCAGCAGAACAATGACCCGAACCACACCCCCCACTCGCCCAGCCTGACTCTGAGAAGGCCAGGGTCCAGGTCTGACTCATCCCAGCACGGTGCCCGGCATGTGGGAGGTGTGTTTAAATACGGAATTACTAAGTGAGTGCTAAACTTTTCCATAAAGAAAACCCATCACATACCCTGCCACAGGCGCCCTTCCTAGAAGACAAGTTCGTGACACGAAGCAGGAAGTCTACAGCACAACAAAGGTCTCTCTCAAAACTGCTGCTGGACTCAACTTGCAAACCGAATTCTTTTGAGGTCTGGCAAGGGACTGCCTTGGAGTGGAAATTAAAGTGTGAGCCCTGCACAGACAGGAGCTGGAATTAAGAAGAGGGTAGGGCGGGATTGGGGCGGGGGTCTGGGGTTCTGTGGGTCCCAGGTAGGGTTAGCTCCTAACTCCCAGTCAAACCATTCTAAGAAAGGCAAGGGCTCTGGGTTCTAACACGGTGGGGCCCAGATGGGGGTGGAGTCCATTCATCTGTGCATGCAACTGTATTTGCTTGTTTCTTGGCTATTCCTGGTGCTTCCTGGAAACCTACCGGGCAAAACATTCCTACCCTCCCGTTTCTCCCTCCCAGCCAGGTGGAGTGGGTGGGCCACAGACTGGCGTGGGGCTGCGGGGTCCAGGCCCTCTCCTTTCCTCTTGGGGGCCCACACCGCCCCTGTTCTGCTCCCACAGAGAGAGCTCGGGGTTGGGGAGGCCTCTCCTAGTCCGTGGCTACCTGGAGCTGCCTGGAATGGCAATCTGGGTTCCCTTACAAGCCACATCCTCAGCTTGATCTACAATAAAGGAAATACCTCAGTCAGCATCCGCGGAATCCTTTTTATTGTAGTAAAATCCATATAACATAGAAGTTACCATTTTGACTATCTTCCAGTGTCCACTGCAGGCACAGAGTACACTCACAATGCTGCACGACCATCCCTGCCACCTACCTGCAGTTCCGTTCTCATCACCCCAAAAGCAAGTCCTGTGCCCAGTAGAAGTCACTCCCCATTGCTTCCTCCCCGGCCTCTGGCAACCACTAATCTACTTTCTGTCTCTATGGACTGGTTTCTTCTAGACATTTTGTATAAACAGAATGATAAAATACGTGGCCTTTTATGTCTGGCTCCTTTCACTCAGCATAGCCGCTTCAGGGGTCTCCCACACAGCAGCGTGTATCAGTGCCTCACTCCTTTTTCTGGCTGAGTCATATTCCGTTGGCTGGAACGGCCACATTTCGTTTGCTGTTTCATCTGCTGAGGACACTTGTGTTGTTTACTTTTGGGC